ATATGTATGTATGTATGTCTTTGTGGCCGTATGTGTGTGTACGTGTGTATGTGTGTAACTGTGATAAAATTACATTACAAAGTATCTGTTTAGATTACTATTTAACAATCAAAGTAAACTGACTTAGAAACAATGAATGATACATTCAATGCTTCAAGTCGTCATTATTCATTATTATTATTATTATTATTATTATTATTATTATTATTATTATTATTATTAGGTGTGGTTCATATACTACTCGGTAAACTCTTTATACCATTAGGTATAAGATAGGATTGGCGACAAATTTCTAATCAATGATTGGCATCATTCTTTGAAATGGAAATGAATGTATGAATCTATTTTGTGCATGGAAATATTAGGGGAATATCGCGCGTCAAATAAAATGAGGTGTGAAAAATACCGAAAAGACTTTATGAAGAAATAATCAGCTAGTCTACTTATTATCATCTCTATAATAGTAATAAAAAGTATTAAACAAAAAACGACAAAAATTAATCTTATTACTGAGATGATGGAGATGATTTCTAGTTCAGATGGATGATTTTGATGGAGTTTTATTCACTGAGCTAGATGATTTGGTCGTAGAGATTTCATCGTTCTTCTGAACAATATCATCAATACAAACTTGGAAGATCCACGATCAAACTATCCAACTCAGAGAATAAAACTTGATCAAAATAATTTTATTACCGTTTTTAATTATTCGTTATTGGGCTATTGAGAAAAGATTTTGCTGTATTACATCGAGTGCTGAAGGCAGTTAGCAAATTTTGTGATGAATCCTTTAACATCATCGTTAGCATACCCGTGTATAGACATTTAAAATCTTGCAAACTCCTAGTAATCGTTGTCTTTTCAGATATTAACCATCCACTACATTCATGTCTTTCTCCCACTTACTTATCAGAGTAAAACAAAGCACATATACATTAGAATTCATGCATATAAGCAAAAGTATAAACACATCTTAAATACATCATCTAACAAATATACACTGTGATGAACACACTGTTACAGCTGATCTAGTCAACAACTTGTATTCTATTCAAAAGATTTCTATACGTTCCAAATCTTCCCAAAACATATTTCACTCAATTTCATGTAGTTTATTTACTTAACTTTCATATGTATGTATCCATGCATGCATGCATGCAGTTATCAGTTCCTTACACTTGTTGAAATACTTGATGATGAGTATTCTATATCGTACCATAGATACATTAGTGAATCAAACCGTCAATCAGATAAAATGATTTTGCGTTGAGTATTTTGTTCTGATGGTGGTAATCATCATTGATTGATCGTATTTAGCGAGTTATGTACTACGGTCAAGTTGGTTGAACATATTATGGAACTAATCAATAGAGGACACTCACAAAATTCTTAAAGCATTTAGATCCTTTGGGTTGTTATCGAGCGGTATACTATTTCAACCTTATTTAATTTGCGTGACAATCACTCACATTTGGTCAAACCACTATCCCACCTGTTGTGAGATAATAACTGACTGAAAACGATGGTGGATGTGTCGCTAAATTTCGTGGATTAGTTGAAGTTAGACATCAACATTCTAGCTCAGTGGTCTAGAGTTTAGTCTTTCTCGCGCGACACCAATAGGTTTTATGTTCGAATCTCGCGAGGCGGGATCATATAAACGCAGTGCTGAGAAGTTTCATACTAGGACGAATCGGCTCTCCAGTACTTCCAGATTTTCAATGGTGGCCTAGCTTAGGTCGGTTCGTGAATCGAGCTGTGAAACCCCCTTACTATTACTATTACCAATACTAGTACTACTACTACTACTACTACTACTACTACTACTACTACTACTACTACTACTACTACTACTACTATTCCTAATAATAATCATAATCGGGAAAACAGTTATGAAAGTATGCGTTGATCTATAAAGTTCTAATCATTACCAGTTTCGTTCAGTCATTTTCCTTATTTTACAATAAAAAATATACACAATCTTAAAAAAAGTATTATCTATCATAATGGAATTATTTTTGGATTATAAAGAGAGGAATGATAACGTAGTTTCATATTCTTCTACTCATCTCTTTCACCCATCGCTTATTATTTTCTTCAGTTTAATCATCATATTTACAATATTCTCATATATATAAATATATATATATCATTGTTCATTGTTGTAATTCTACTCTCCATTTATTCTGTTTTGTTATTGTTGTTGATGTTGGTGGTGGTGGTGGTGATGGTGGTGTAAAATATTTTTAATTTCATTTACTTTCCTGTTTCCCCCCAACTTCTTCCTTCTTTTACCCGTATATTATTATTATGATTATTATTATTAGCAGTAGTAGTAGTAGTAGTAGTAGTAGTAGTAGTAGTAGTAGTAGTAGTAGTAGTAGTAGTAGTAGTAGTAGTAGTAGTAGTAGTAGCAATAGTAATCATAACATTGCTATTATGATTAAAACTACTTGACTCTTCTCAATTCTTTAGACAATTTTCAAATAACATTGTTTTAACTGTTTCATTAGGGTATAAAAATTTATTTTGTCTTTTACCCCATAAAATTTCTTTGCTCAGATTGATTGGCATATGTAAAGGATATATGTAGGTATATGCACACACGTGTTTACACTTTTATTCAACTTATATTTGATGATGCATGAATAAGTGACAGATACTACTAACACTACTACTACTACTACTAGTAGTAGTAGTAATGGTAGTAGGAGAAAATTATTTTTTCCATTTCACTGAATTTGCGTGTTTCTAATATGAATAATAATGGTAATCATAATAAAGACTTTCATATGTTTGATTGTGTTTTGTGGCTCAATACAGTTCGTGCATTAACTTTCATGCATGAATGTTCGTGGGTATGTCGTGTAAGTGTGCGAGTGTGTGTGTGTGTGATTGTATGTGAACTTTCATATTAGATGGATAAGTTCTTAACGAAAACAAATGGATAGATGGTTAAATGGATAATGGCAAAGTTTATTAAGATTTATTGTAAGAAAATCAGATCAAGCATTTTTTGTATTTAAGAAAATGAAAATGAAATTCGAGTCAAAACATCATAATAATAATAATAACCGTAGTCGTAATAGGAGTAGTAAAGAAGGTCAATAGGGAATGAGTCAGAACATTATCGAGATGGATATTTGAACTGAAGTAAAGAATGGAACTCTGTTGTCGAATATAACGGATCGATAAGAGAAACTTTCACTAACTCCGTATATTAAATTGATCTTACAAAGATGTATAGAGCAGAGACACGAAGAATCAAATGAGGAAATAGGTGTATGCTACCAGTAATGTAGTTGTTCTATTTCTAATCTGACAACAAAATTTTCTTTTAGAACTAATGCTAATAGTAAGAGTATTGATAATAATATATTTCGATCAACCAGTACAGATCCATTTACATAAACATTTATTCATATATTGAGTTTTGTGATAGCTTAACATACTAAACTGACTGACCAAATGTGAGTGATTGTCAAGCAATTTAAATAAGGTTGAAATAGTATACCACTCGATAACAACCCAATGGTTCTAAAGCTTAACAACATGTCATGAGTTTTATGAGTGTCTATTATTGATTAGTTCCATAATATGTTCAACCAACTTGACCGTAGTACATAACTCGCTAAATACGATCAATCAATGATGATTACCACCATCAGAACAAAATACTCAACGCAAAATCATTTTATCTGATTGACGGTTTGATTCACTATTGTATCTATGGTAAAATATAGAATTCACATCATCAAGTATTTCAACAAGTGTATTTTATAAAGAAAGAGACAAAGTGGAAGCAACTGATACCTGCATCCGTGCATGCATACACACATACATCCATCCATTCATACGTACATACATATTGAAATATGTTTTAGGAAGATTTGGAACGTATAGAAATCTTTTAAATAGAATACAAGTTGTTGACTAGATCAGCTGTAACAGTGTGTTAATCACAGTGTATATTTGTTAGATGATGTATTTAAGATGTGTTTATACTTTTGCTTATATGCATGAATTCTAATGTATATGTGCTTTGTTTTACCATGACGTTTGAAATGTAAAGTTATAGCTTCAAATTCGTCAGTGAACATCAACTATCGAATATAAGTTAATCATACTGACCAACGCCATATAAAATGGGATACATGTCCTGATTGTCACGCTTTGTCTATTCCATACAAACAAATAATTTACGGTTATACATAAACCTCATAAGCATCTGTTCATACTTAAATAAAATAGGGGAGATTGTGTTAATTCTAACAGTTGAATTCGCGAATCGATCTAAACTAGACCACAACTGAAAACCTGAAAGCACTAGTTGACCGTTTCTACCTAGTATAAAACTTCTCAGAAGTTCTGGATTCGAATCATGCATGCCGAATCATGGATACGCGCTTTTGAAAAGTCCCATACTCCAGTACTTTTAATCTTTCAATGATGATCTAGCTTATATCGACTGATGAATTTATTTGTCAAAAAAAATTACCGATTTTTCGATTGAGATCATGAATTGATCGATGTTAGATCACCATTGAAAACCTACAAGTACTGGTCGGCCCTTTCGTCCTGTTTTGAACTCCTCAGCAGTGCGCATCCATGATTCCGCTTATGGAATTCGAACCCAGGGCCTTAAGTCTCACACGTGAACGATTAACCTCTAGACTACTGAGTTGGCATCCAACAGCGGAAATGTCTAACCTCAACCAGTCCACAAAATTGTACGATCATCTTCCATTGTAGTAAAGTAGATACCTGTCTCTACTCTACACGGATTAGTTCGAAACTGAAGGCCCTGTTTTTGAATCATACGAGTTCGATCGTGTATACGTACTGCTGAGGTGTCCCACAATAGGATTAAGCATCCATTCAATGCTTCTAGGTTTTCAAAGGTTGTCAGTCAGTTCATGATCTTAATCAAAAACTTAATCATCTCTACAACCCCTATAATGATAATGATTTTTCACAAGATTTTGTTTCCCTTTTTTCAGGTAAATCAAGTATCAGAAACTAATAGAATTTACGATCAAAACGAAAAAAATGTGGATTATTTTAATCTTGTTAACAATCAATATTATCCCCCAAAATATTGATTTTCTCTATGGTAACAATCATGATATCGAACAATCCAAATGGAATATTAATAAACAACAACAACAAATTCGTAACATTCATAATCTTTCTAATTATGTCATATTAAAGAATCAAAATATCGATTTGTTCAATTTCATTCAAAGAATTAAACGATCCAAATCAAACGATGTAAAAGATCATCATTCAATGGAGAATAATAAAGAATTGAATAACTCGAATAAGAATAATAAGAATGATCGTTCTAATGATGATGATGATGATCATAAGAATAATGATCCTATTCCAAATGTTATAGATAATAATGAACATTTAATAAATTCTAACAGTAAACTGTCTAGTTCATCTAATTATCATCCATTAAGTTCTAATCAATTATTACATAATTCAATGGATCATGAAAAAGTACTTAGACCAGAGAAATGTATACCAATTGAAATACCATTATGTAAAAATATTGGTTATAATTTAACTTATTTACCAAATGCATTTAATCATGAAACACAAGAAGAAGCTGGTTTAGAAGTATGTTTTATATATTTTATATCATTAAAATTATTTTATTGTTTAATAATGATATATGTTCAATAGTTGAGATCATGATTTAATTGAAGATAGACTCGCCAGCAGTGCGCATCCACGATCCTGTCCTTCACGAAACTCAAACTCGCTCAAGGCGCTTAATTAACTAGACCACTGAACTGGCATCCAACGGTGTTAATGTTTAACTTCAACCAATCTACGAAGTTGCGCCACCATATACCATTGTCGCACACGAAACTGATAGGTCCTGGGTTCGAATCTCGTGAGGGGTGGGATCGTGGATGCACACTGTTGAGGAGTCCCATACTAGGACGAAATGGCCGTCCAGTGCTTCCAGGTTTTCCATGGTAGTCTAGCTTTAATTGAAACATGAACGAGTGAAATTTCTTAAATTTCCACAAAACCCCCTCTGAAGATAGACTATCATGGAAAACCTCCAAGCATTGAATGATTGTTTTGTCCTAATCAAAGGAATTCTCAACAGTGCACATTTATGATCATGCCTTGTAAGATTCAAACTCCAGGATCTATTGACTTATTTACTTGATACAGGTTCATATATTGTAAATGTAAGAGCTAGTGAAATCATTGGATTCCTAAAACCGAAATAACTGAAATAGACTATGAATCTGTGACTTATTGGTTGAATATAGAAACCAAGGTATCATTAAGTTATCACTCCATCGCATGTGGTTTGATTGACTTTGAAAGAAAAAAAACAACGACAAATTCCGAATGTTGAACTGATATCTCTGTGTTGGAATAAGCAAGAGATAACAGTTTAGGATTTTTATGCCAAGGTTATAAATCATAGTGTTATATGAATATTACTTAAATAAACCTCAATGCAGTAATATGTAATCTTAATCTCTTCTCAAGTTTGATTAAGTGAGAACCAGGAAGTGATTTGATTGATCTGGGTAAAATTCAATAGGTTTAGAACTGTTATGACACGCGTATTGAAGCATCTGACCTTGGTGTTGGTTGGCAGTTGTTTTGAGTTCCAGATGTTTTTCATTTGTAGATATGCTACTCTTGCTTTACCGATCTGCGCCTTCACATCTGCATCAGATTCATCATGTTCATCAATGATGTTGAGTAGAAAGTTTTCAAAGGTGTATAGTAAGATTTATTGAAGTATTGGCCATACGAAAATTCAAACCCCTTTTTATGTATTCACAAAACAGTTTGTTCTCACTTTAAGCCTACTTACTTACTTACTTATGCCTGTTACTCCTTATGGAGGAGCATACGCCTCTTACCAGTACTCTCCATCCAACCCTGTCTTGAGCGATCCTTTCCGGCTCTTTCCCATTGTTATTCATCCTTTTCATATCTGCTTCTATTTCCCGACGTAACGTTTTCTTTGGTCGGGAAACTCCGTCTGTAGCTCTTCTAGGGTTACTTCTGGTCCCAAGCCCGGGTAAAGGAGGGGGTTAGGCATGGGGTTAGCGACCCCAGCCCGTAGAAAACTAACTCGCTAAAAAAAGCACTAACCAGAAAAATTAATTCACTTTAAACCTACATTGGTAATATTGTTTCATTATCCAGCATGATGAGTTTCACATCATTTTCCTTATTATCTTTGTTGCCTCCTACCTTCTATTTGTTTAGTTGACCTAATTTATCGTACATAGATGTTCTTAACAAGTATATGTGTGTTTAGATAGTTCGAAATGTTGTGCGATGATACATCACGCAGTGCTGAGAATCTACTTCTTATTACACTATCTAAAACTATTCTATCTATTTATCACTATGAAGGTAGTAACAGACTTTATGACATGTGTATTACTGTCCAGTCCTTTCTGGTTTACAATGGTCATCTAACTGGTTACATGTACATGATGGAAAGTGTTCTCAGATTATATGTTTTAGTACTCATGATACTAGTGAGAAAAAGTATGTACTTAACCTTTGATTATCTACTTATTCTATATCAATAGCTTAGATTGGTTTCTTTTCACTTCAAAGTCAAGAAAGTTAAGTATTGTGATAATAAGTAAGATCAACGAATTAAAAAAGAAAACGGTTTACGATTGTGGTTGGAGTTAGTCAACAGAAAACCCTGGAACTAGGTTTCGTGCTTCTTTGCACTCGTCAGCAAGGTGTACCTGTAATCGTGAGGAAATTGATTCTCCAGGCCACTTGTCTAGGTGACTCGACATTGCGTTCACTATGCTGAGATAAGATGGTGGTTCGACGTAGTCAACAGGAAATCCTGAACCTAAATGGCTCAGTGGTAACTTCTCTAACTGTAAATCTGGGTGATATGGGGTCAAATCCGGTAGGGAGTATCAGTCCCCTCAAGATTACAGGTACACCTTACTGACGAGTGCCAAATAGCGCGAAACCTAGTTCCAGGGTTTTCTGTTGACTACCTCCGACTACCATCTTATCTCAACATAGTGAACGTAATGCCGAGACACTTAAACTGGTAGCCATATTGCAACTTGGTCAATAAGATTCGATCTGAACTAAGAAGAACCTGATATACATAACATTGATCACCACCCAGTGATCAATCAATTGTAAGGAAAACGGTTTCTTATTTGTTTTCAACTTGAAGATTACAGTAATAATATGTAATCTATTAACTGATGAATTGGTGATGGTCAGGAAATCTTTCTTTGGATACTATTCTTCATCAAGTTTCAGGTTCAATCTTTTTTAGTTCTATAGGATAATCTTAAACTTACTAGAAACAAAAAAACGAATACCCAGTATTCCACCGTATTTGTCTTGGGAATAAAAGAACAGTTGACTATGTGTAAAATTCATTCCATTTAGTTACGATGGTAAAATAACATTTCAAATTTTCCGTCAGATAATCAATATTAGTCACATGATAGTGGAATCACCACAGAAATTAGTCATATTTATATACATATGTACGTATATACACGATAGGTTGATAGCTGTCACAAGAGATTAATATCAAAGTTAGCCTAAAATCTCAACAGGAAATGAAAAAAACAAACACTGGTAGACAACAACACTACACATTTTCTCTCTATCCCTTTAATAGTGATGGCTAGAATAGTCTTATTAGTAGTATTGTTAGTAGTAGTACTAGTAGTAGTAGTAGTACACTAAATGAAAAAGTAAAGTTTTAAAAAAGAAGTAAAACAAGCTTCGTTTATTGACTGAACAAAAAATGTCATCAATGAATGACACAATGATAGAAAGTTTATTATATATTACTGACCTAATAGTGACCTAGAAATATATCGATTAAGAGTAATAATAATAATACTAATAATTATTATCAGAATGGGTTTTGTGGAGATTTTTAGAAATTTCACCGGTTGAAATCATGAGTCAATTGAAGCTAAACCACTATGGAAAACCTGGAGGCACTGGACGGCCGTTTCGTCCTAGTATGGGACTCCTTGACAGTGCACATCCACAACCCCGCACCCCGCGAGATTCGAACCCAGGACCTATCAGTTAGCGCCAGGCATTAACCAACTAAACCACTCAGCCGGCATCCAAAGGTGTTAATGTCTAATTTCAACCAATCCACGAAGTTGCGCCACCGTACACCACTGTCTTCAGTGAGTTCCTATCTCATACTAGGACAAAACGGCCGTCCAATGCTTCCAGGTTTTCCATGGTGTTCTAGCTTCAATTGACTCATGATTTCAACCAGTGGAATACTAATAATTGTCTTTAAAGCGTGTTATTTTAATATTGATATTTAAATCTATGGGAAAGCTTCGTAGTTAGGACCATAAAAAATATGGAATGAAAGCCGATTTCTTATTCGTCAGATGATATTAATTCTTTTCAAAGAATTTCCCAGAAAAATTTAATAGTGAATAAGGATGGGCCAAAATCAGTGATTTATAACTCAGGTGGATGATTTTGATGGCGCTTGGTCATCACGACAAAATCATCGGATTCGATTCCGTGTTTCGCAGCTTCACAGTTAGAGAGAGACGTTACCATTGAGTTATCCAGGTCGAAGATTTCCTGTTGGTCGTCACGACTAAATCATCTAGCTCAGAGAACAAAACTCCATCAAAATATGTATATTGAATTAAAATTGTTATATATGCACCATATAGTGAGTAAATATATGTTTTTCTAGGGATAAAATAGTAAGAAATAGCAAAAAGGAGTTCTAGTGAGAAATCGTAATTAGTGGAGTTAAGTCATGTCTAGTGTGAGCTATGTATCGTTTAAATTGTATTGAAAAGTGGTTGTGTGACACTATGAACTGACTGAAGTTAGGAATGTAAATCTTTGGATACTTAGTTGTTTTGAATGTCAAAACACTCTCCATGAAACCTCAAACTTATGGGTTCGAATCTGGTAAACTAGCATATGCTCACTGATCGGAAATACCATACTAAGATAAAAAACAGTTGTCAAGAGCTCCCTAATTTCCGCTGGTTATTTAATTTACGCCAATTAGTGATAGAAAATAAAAGACTTAACAATCTACACAGATCCCTATTTCTAATTGATAGGTGTATGCGGATGGAGTCAGTATTGTATCTGGTATAGGAACGGAGAGTTCGGTAAATTTGGAGAGATGTGTTTTTTATAAGGCATTTCCTAATGCTTTTTGAGAGTTTTGTGGTTCTCACTCAGCAAGTTTGACAGAGTAATTTAGAAGCATATAAAGTTTCATTTTTGTCTAAGAGTTATTGTAATGCAAAACATTTCGACGTTAGGCAATGTTGTTCAGCAGAAAAAGATATTCTCCCTAAACGACTTTTAGACCTTTGTTTATTCAATGAGCACAAATCATTCGTAAAAGTTTTTATAAGCAGAGAGTCCAATTTGACGCTCATTTTGTCCTATCTGGAACTCGTTATGACTGGTTGTCGTGATTTATGGTTTAATAAATCTTCTTGGTATTCTTACTTCGTGTCGTCTTCGGTCTTCAGTAATAAAGATAGTAGATTGGTGAACTTGTGTTAATCCTGACTGATTACCTTTCAGTGAAGGTTCAACTTGTCCTTGAAAATATT